GCCCGCGGCGCTGGTTCTTCTCTTTCCCTCTCCCCCCCTTCTCTTTCTCCGAGATGGGCGCTGGCGGCGTTTGTTAAGGATATGATAACCCGACTCGACTCTTCGTTCCCATCTATATCCAAGTTTTTTTGTGTGGTTTAGTAGGATTGCGAATTCTATTTTCATTTTTTGAAGCTTGCTTTCTGGTTGTTGTGCAGTTGTAAATCGTGATTGTTGGATACTGTGATTACCGTGTGATCGGAGAAACCATCTGCATTGCGATTATGCATATAGTTTTATCACCGCGCAACAGTCCCACTCATGTACAGTCCAGCGTACACGTATTACAGCAAATTTAGCCGCAGTAGAGGGGAAAGCATGAGGAAATCGCATACTGCTTAAGATATTGCAAAGCGTGGTAATGTAATGTTTGCATTTGTAGGCAAGCGAATCAACTAATCTAAAACCACTTTTTTGACTTGAGGCCCGCATTATGCCACCATAGCCATGCAATCTGGACATTCTCGTCACCCAGTTCCGGTGATTGCCATGTGTTCAGCCACGTCTACATCATGCTGCTCCACGAACCCAGTCGTTGTGACTCTCCAATCTTCATCTCAATGATTCAACTCTCCAGGTCTGTCATATCGCCACGTGGTTACTTCATGCTCTTCAAGTCGATAGTTTTCTCTTCTTCGTTCTCAACGCCAACACGTTCGTCCCTCCTATTTTCTGGGCAATCCCATCGTCCATCTGCAAGGCCACCGTCTCCTTTGTTTCCTTCTCTTTCTTGATCTCAGCGGCAGCGAGACGTCGCTGCAAGAACTCCACCTTGGCTTCAGATTGTTGCAACTCTATCGCCTGTCGCTCGCGCTTCCGCCGGTCAATCCTCCATAGAACGTCTTTCATGGGAAAAGCACCGGGTCCCGTCGCTTTGAGCGCCTCCCTCCGCTCATCTATCGTGTAATCGTCGAATCCCGGCATTACGTGTCCATCATGGCTCGTCTTGAGCTTCTTCACGATTGGCAGCGGCATGCCTGCAGGGTCCATGGGGCGAATCTTCCATTTCGGATCGAGTTTCCTCCACGCCTCTAGCTCTTCTTTTGTGATGTGCGGAGTCTGTTTCAAATTGCCCTGCTCGTCGTAGTTCCATGGGTAAACGGCAAAACGATGCGTGGGTTCCGGTGCGACACGTTGGATGAGCTCGTCTCCTTCTTTGATCATTTGAGCCTGTGGCCGGGCAGTACGAGCTCTTGCAAAGGTCGCATGAGTTCGGGTTGGGCAGGCTCTATCATTGGCATGTGCCCACGTTAAGGGGTTTGTATGATCATGAAAGAAGTAGTCGTATTTGTCTTCGGCTAAGATGACCGTGTTGAGGTCCGGGAGCTCGGAGAAGTCGGGTATATACTCAGAAGTAGACGCAGTGGGGCGGAATAACTTTGTTGGAGGGGTCGACATGGTAGACGCGGGGGCCGGATCGCCGGTAGGTGTTGTCAAGGATGGACCCATGGATCGGACTTGACTTGGAGGTGATAAGGGAGGATGGTTGATCAACGTGAAGTGTTGCTTGGGGGGAATTATATTCAGATTGGTGGTGAGAAGAGGAGTGGAGGATGTAGGAGGATCGATGGCCGGCTTTTATACAAGAGACTAGCAGCCGTAGAAAGGCTCGGGTGAGAGTCGCGTGGGTGAGAGAGCGAACCTGGGGGGACTGTGGATCTAGCCTCCCCCACGTTCTCGCGCAAGTACATCGAACGCAAGAGCGGCATCAGGTGGCCCTTGTCAAAGCTATTCTCGTTGCCTGGTTAGGCATCGGGGTGAGCAAGTTGGCATACCAATCCCCATGTCTCAACAAGCTTCGACGACTACTTCAAGGTCTGTGGTGCAACAAAGAGTTGAGTGTATGCCCAGTTATCGGATAGGATATACGGTGACGATTGATCCATCGCCATTGTGTGTAAGTGTCTGATCTTGCAGCATGTCCCACTCATTGGAGTTCTGTATGGCGTCCAGCGCTTATATGATGAACATGCTGGTGCAGAAACTGCGGGCGCAACACACTGGAGTGGCTCTATTCATGATACTGCATGCCAATCACATAGAGTTACAGCTTCATAGGGTATAATTCAGACTATGAGCAGGTTGTTAAGCAGTCCAAGTGTAACTTCCTCATGAAGTGTAGCCGCGTGTATGCAGCAAAATACAATATGAAGTCTACGGTCACTCACAATCTTCCTTTCGCAACTGCCCCACTACTACCGTCATGTAGTCACTTGACATTCTTCTCTAACCACTCTTCCCACTGCTCCGCCGTCCACGAACTGCTAATCTCATTGTTCACAACCCCATCGAACACAACTGTAGGGGTAACATGCACACCCGTCAGTCGATTCGCTTTCACTTGCACCTTGACATCATCCGTAACTCCGTTTCCTGAGTTCAACGCCCCGTCTTCACCAGGCTTATCGCTTATCTCCAACAGTGCATAAACCTTGCCTTCATCAACACCCACGGACCCGGCGATCTTGGCCAGTCGCTTGTACGTCGCGTTCCTTGTTTCGTTAACCAGACTTACGTCGAAGAAGTCTTTCTGCTGGGCAAATAGCTTCTGTGAGAAGTCCCAGAATTTAGAACTGTCGACCTTTTGTACGGCGTAGGCGGCTTCGTGGACGAGGGTGGAGGACGGGTGCCAGGGTTGGATTTGTTGCCGGAAGATGGTTACGACGCGGTCGGAGTATTTCTCGAGAAGTGTCTTGCGGAGAGGGGTCTCGTAGATTGTCTTGAACATCTTGGCCGAGAAGGGGCATACGTAGTCGAGGTCTGGGATTTGACTGTTAGTCTGATGGAGGCCTTGGGATGGGTCGGGAAGTTGTATTCCAGCAGTCGAGGATGAAACACTTACAGAGCTCGAGTGTGTGGGTGGCCTTGGGCTGAATAGCATTGGAGGCCAGCTTTTGGCCAGCGAATTTGGGTGCAAGAGCCATGGCGATGGTTGATCTAAGGTTGTGCTGGAGGTCCGGTGAAGAGGTGGATGCTCAATTGATGTAGAGCTGTGCTATATATATGATGGAGATGAACAGATGGCGTGACAATCGGCAGCTTCGGAGTAGATGAAGATGGTACCAGAACACGATCGCTGACATATAAGGATGCCATCGGAGCTTTGGATATGACGAAAGCGGGGCCGGATGTCGCGCATGCCAGGACACGGGCCGCTGGCAACCATCTCTAGTAGCGCCGACCCGACGGCAAGAAATAAGCAGTTTACATCCAGATGTGCCTGTGTTTCTTTGTAATCTAATGATGCCGCTGTTGGATCGTAAATGTTGTCTGATGAGAGATGAAGCGCGGTCAGGGATAGCTCGCGCCTCCCCCACCGCGCTCCACAACAGCTGTCGCGCCAACTCCGCTCACTCCCGAGCCACGAGCTTCATGCAACACCGCGTCATAAGTCGCGTCCAGTAGGCGCTATAACTTAGACATCCACAGTCCTTATCCACACATCACCTTAGTGATTGCCCATCATCCAGAGATGCCCGAACCTAGCTCAACAGACGACGACCTCCTTGCCCGCCTCAATGCGCTCAAGACATCCTCCGTCAGCCTGGATACCAACTATAGCGCTTCGATAGCACCTAGGAATCCTCCTAAACCCACCGATGACCTCGCCGCTCGCTTCGCACGTCTTGGTAGCGCGTCTCCCTCAGGCTCGCCACAGCCGTCGCGTACAACGTCCACAAACAATGCCGGCGCACCGGTCGCAGCACCAGGGGCACCGAGCTACCTGGAAGGGATAGCCCAAGGCGTGGGAGGCTCGAATGTAGAGTTTAACGAGGAAGATGAAAAGAGCCTAGAAGAGTTACTGGGTGAACTAAACGGCGCCGTCGGCGATCGGAAGGATTGGGATGTATCCAAGGAGGAACAACAAGATGTTGGAAAGCTGTTGAAAGACATGCGCAAGATACTCCCGGAAGTGGTGAATAATAGGGCACAAGGGCCGCAGAGAGGGCGTACAAAATCTGAGCAGCCATCGAAGGAGGAGTTGACGGACTGGGAGAGCATTGAAATCAATGTTGGAAGTGGGGAGGCTGGTAGAGCCAGGGAAGACACAGACAGTGGAGATGACGAAGACGAAGGCAGTAAGAAGAGAACCGAAGATGACGATGCAGATGATGTGATTGCGAGAGTCATGGCAGAACTGGAAATTAGCAAGAAATACGATCCCCCTTCTCCTCCGTCAGAAGACGACATGTCAGAATCAGGAGACCAGAAGAATGCATCAACGGCAGATACCACAGACGGCGGCTTCACACTGCCTTCCGCACCGAATACCCTCCCTGAAGACGACTTCGCGAGCAGTCAAGCCATCGAAGCTGCATTCACCGCACGCCTGGCCGCTCTAGCAGCACCTTCACCATCACATACAGATTCTCTCGGCCTGCCTTCCGCCCCTTCGTTCGCACCCAGAAATAAGCCGCCGGTATCTACGAATCTACAAAAGCAGGTCGATGGGGAGATTGACACATGGTGTATCATTTGTCAAGACGATGCGACACTGAAATGCCTGGGCTGTGACGGTGATTTATATTGCCAGAATTGTTGGATGGAAGGGCACCGAGGGGAGTCTGCTGGGTTCGAGGAGAAGAGACATAAAGCCGTCTTGTATAAAAAGAAGAAAAAACAACAGGCCGCAGCTTGAAAGTCTCAAATCGGACCCGCAATATGTTGTGCTTGTGCGATTGAAGATGGAACCCAAGACAGGTATGGGTGGCATTGCGTAGTGTCTCAAAGTCGACAATGCGAAAACAGGGATACGCGATAGGATGTGTCCGAAGATCCCTCGACGGTAACCCTCGCTCTTGGAGACACATGGAGCCTCTGGTCCGCGCCGAAGAAGAGTGGAAAGATTTTCTCGAGCAAAACGCGACAAGCCCCTTATACACCCCGTGGGGATGGGCGAACGGGCCTCACCTTTAAGAAGCTTCAGTCTCTCCGGCGCATGTGTAGCGGAACCAGGAGCAGAGCACACGATAGTACAACACCTGAAAGCATGGAGCTGTATTGACTCAAACGTTCTGCCACTCGGTTTTCTCGGAGCTAGCAATAATAAGCTGTTCCGAATACACTTCAAGCCGGCCTATGGGAATAAACCTCGCGAAGACAAGACAACTAGCCGTTCTTGCTCGAATGAAGCGCCAGTTCCAAGCCAATCAATATTATTCGCATCCTACAAAGAATACTTAGGGTAGGGGTATACCTTAGCTTAGTAATTGTCTGGTTATTAGGGTTTGATAGTATTATACGTATACAGCAAGCTACGACTCGATTCGCTACCATCTAAACACTTCTTGGATTCACTGGCGATTGGAAGAAGCGACGTTGTCTGGCCGCACCTTCCAGGTTCATTCTCCAGGGCTCTCCCCTCCACTCAAACAACGCTAGCGGATGTTAGTCTGTGCCACCACCTCCCTCAGTCAGAATCAATACATTGACCACATCTCCTCGACCACACTATCTCTGTTACGAGACTTCGAATTCAACAACACTTTTGCCGATTTCCCCAATCTTCTCGCAACCACAACGTGAACTCGAAACCTTGTAATGACGAAACCTGGAAGTCGTGGCTCCGACATGTAACACAACACTCTCTTGTCTGTCTACCTGCCAGCTAACCGACCCTTCCAGTACTTTGCGCAACGCCGAATCGTCACCTCTTCTGCGTCTTCCAGCTGAGCTTCGGAACCAAATCTACGGGTGCGCAGATCCCTGCCCATCACAATACAAACGGCCTATGCTAACATCTTGTGCCTCAATTAGATACGTACTAAGCGGTCGTGTTTACAAAATCCAGGGCGACGGTCGCATCAACGGACACCCGCTCAGTCTACTACTCACTTGCATTCAAACCTATCATGAGACCGCCAAGTCACCATTTCTCGGACTGAACCTCTTCTCTTTCAACTCTCTCCTCGAGTTCCAGATGTTCAAAATGCGACTCTCGCCCTCACAGCTCGATGAGATCCAGACCGTACAGCTCAATGCATGGGGATACACTTTGCCATGGTACTTGAGTACGAAGCCGGAAACCATCTGTGGTTCTCTTTATCTAGGCGGGCTGCACGGATTACGAACTGTTTGTGTTGGAAAGCCACTGATATCATGGGAAGATCGAGCACGTGAAATGCAGCAGTGTCATGAATTTCGTGCGCTTTTGGAAACACTCA